AACACTGGCCAGATATATGGCCAGAACTATGGCCACTACTTTCATAACTGTATGCTATTTGTTGTGTAAAAATATAACTAATAAAGAAATGTGTTGTTTGAAAATTTTTTAATTAAAATCTCATGCGTTTTACGTATGGGTTTAGGATGTAATTAAATTTACTTATGTTTATAAGTTAAAACAATTAATACTGTAATTGTATGTAAAGTAGTGGTGCGGCACCACTGGTGCCATAACAGTTGAAATAATTTATAAATTTCAAGTTTAATTATATTATAAATATTAAATTTATGAGAAAAGTCTGTTTTAATTAAACAATAATCAATTTGTTAAAATATTATATATTTATTTTGTTTTTAAATATATAGACAACAAATCAATGAATTCCTTGTGAAACAATCAATTGTTATAAAAGTTATGTCACAAACAAAGTTGTTTAGTCAGTAAAAATTAATGTTTTTAGTGAATAAAATCCATACAAAAAATAATTGTGTACATTTTTAATCTGTATAATTATTGATTGTCATTATGCAAATTAGGACTCAATTTAGAGCCAAAGTTTGGTCATATTTATACAAACCATCTAGACATATTAAACTTTATTTTAGAATTTACATTTTTGATCTAGCTCGTTACGTTTGGGAAATATAACAATTCTTTAAAGTCACAGGTTTTGTTTTGAACGCTTGGATAACATTAAATACTTTATATTTAATAATGGTAAATTTAAAGTATAATATGTGAAATATAAAACATTAACGTAAAATCAATTGAATATATATTTAGATTATGCACAAACATATACTTTTATTAAAATTTAATTTTATAAATACAATTCCAAATAATTTTAAAATTTTAAATTAATTTAGAAAAGTTAAAAATGGTGGTGATTAAGTAACAATATTTATAAATAATAATTTGTATTAACCAGTTGATTAACAAAATTGCCATGCTTAAACAATATTGCCTCTGAGCCAAGCAACTTGGTTGGCCACATCGGCATAGGCTGCGGGAGTCTTTGTGGTGTCTGACGGACAGTTTCTTATGCCCCAGGACACAATACCGGCCAATTTGCCACCTGCAACCAATGGTCCACCAGAATCACCCTAAGCAATTAATACAAAATACAAAATAAATATATGCTAAATTCCAAAAACTTTCTTTCTCATATTTACAAACAAATATTGCATAAACTCAATGATATTAATATATACTGTAGATTTAAATTAAAATAAACATAATATATTTTTATAAACAGTACATACATTGCAACCACTGGCCGATTCGTGCTCGGTGCAAATCTGTCGAGCTGTCACAACAATCTGGTCGCCGTATAAGTCTTTGTATCGTTGATTGCAATCGGTTTGCGATACAATCTTAAAGTCCACGTACTGTAGAGCAGTGGGCGATGAGCCGGTGTTACCGCCGATCGTAAGGCCCCAACCCGTCAACGATGCGGGCGATCCGCCCGCCGGTGCCGTATCGACCAACTCAATGGTCTTGACGTTGGGTCGACTGGTCTCGATGGGTGCGGACAGT